GCGGCCCTCCCTGGGGAGCCACCGGCGCTGCCACAGGCGCCTGCTTGGCAGGGGCTGGGAGAGTCCACAGGATTGGTTTAAAGGGCAGAAAAATAATCCGTCAGAAATTAATTAAAAGGTCTTTACACTGTTATGAAAGCAGCTGTCCCCCCAAAACCACAGCGTGTGCGGACCCATCGGTTGCAAGCTCCACTTGAACTCACATGCTGTGGGACTCTCCTCATCTGAGGTGGTATCAGGGTCCGTCAGCTTCTCCTTCACCTTCTCGGTCCTCTCTCTGAAGAGCTTCACCAGCTCCTGGAGCCGGGTATTGATGCTGGTGCTGCTCTGGCTCGTAGCTGACCCGATGCGCTCAGGCAGGCTGCGAGAAGACCACCAGGCAGTTCATGCAGGTAGAAAAGCCCAAGGACAGGTTCTTGGCCCATTTTTGTAGCCTACAGGATCCTGAGTTAGGATTTACCCATAGTTATCTGGCTATCCTGCAACCAGGGGTTTCGGACCTGATCTAGGACCTAGGTCTATTTGGCACCTTCCACTTGGCAGCAGGCAGATGGTGGTGGCCAGTTGTCATTGTCCCGTAATCAGAGGGCCACAAGTGAAGGTGATTTCAGTAAAACACCATCAAGCAGAACCAGCCTGAGCCTCACCCTTGCTCTGTGGTGTGTGATGCCCTCAGAGGGATTTGGGGAGCACCAAGAACCGAGGCTGGCTTGCACATGCTTGGGAGAAGGAGATTTTGGAAGAACTATGAGGTGAAAATATCCACATAGGCTCTGGATTCATTAACTATATCACCTCTTTTCAGCCTCTTTATTCAAACGAGGCTGGATCCAGACCAGGATGCTTTGCTGAGAGTGACTGAGAAACATCACTATGAGAGGGGACAACACTGAGCTCTTTCACTGTAGCTCCAGGACGGTTGTGCTAATTGGCACCCTGGCTTCTGCCCAGGGAGAAGGCAAAATCCTGCACTGTGTGGAGGTGCAGACCCTCCCCCAGACTCTGCTTCTCAGGGAGGGCAGGCCCCTCCAAAGCTGCCCCCTCCAGGCCCTGGGGTGCATGATGTGCTTGCTTTGCTGGAGGAAAAGGTCATTTCTCCACTATCAGTGAAATGAAGGTGCTCTAGCAGGTGTAGATCAGAGGTGCATCTTCTTTGTGGTTAAATGCAGCCTTAAGGAGAATATTTCTGCCTGGACACAGGAAAAACAAGAGAGCAGTTTCTGCTCAGGGGGGCACCATCATGGTTTTTTGGAGAGGGGCTGCGTTACTCAGCACGCAGAGCTAAACCTGGCTAGATGGGGAGCCCATGACTCCCTCTGCATTTGGGATCCCAATGCTTCCAGGATCTTTGCTATTTCCACCTGAAGCCTGGACTCCAAAGCCTTCAGAATTTGGTGGATCCAGAGCCCCTGGTTCCCATCACACACCTTTCCTTTTGCTCCCTGTCCCAGCCCGGCAGTGCTCGGGGGGGGTCTTGGCTTGCCACTCCCTCCTCCAGACCATCAGCTGGGGCCAGCAGCTTCCTCCTGTGGACAAAAACACAGCAACCAAGGCTTGGTTTGTTCCCCATCCTTGATCAGCTCCTCTTCCTCCTCCTCCCAGGTCTCATCTGTTTCTGCTTCCCCTTTTCCTACCACGGTCAGTTTCCCCCCTGATTTTTGGCGTTGCCTGAAGTCAACAGGAGCAAACAACCCCACTCCTCTGCTGCCAAGCCCTGTTCCTTCCTGGGCCCCACCAGGCCCATTTTATGACCCATTTTGGCACCTGGCAAGATGCATGGAAAGTGGACACCACTCCCTGCTCATTCCCAGGGCTGCACCATCATGGCTCTGAGCTACGAGGGGCAGGACAGGGAAAGGTGGAGCAAGAAAGTGAAATCTGGAAAAAATAGGGAGGTTCTGGGGACACAGCCTGGCTCTGAGCTGGCTCCATTGCACCTTAAACCCCCCAAGTCAAGGTGCGAATTGCAGAGCAGCAGGTACAGAACATAATGGCTGCAGGGACCTGCTAGGCTACATGCAAAGGGCTGCTGCTGAGAGCAGCTCCAGGTTCCAGAAGAGCCTTACAAATGCTGTCTTGGTGATGCTGAGCCAGGGGCACCTCCTGGTCACATCTGTGACATCGCCCCAGATCTCTGTCCAAACCCACTGGGAAAAGGTAGCTCCACATGGATGTATAAATTTCCCTGTACCAGCACTGTCAGAGCGTGAGACTCCGGGGCCCATGGATACATCCTGGGCAGGGCTGTACCTGGGAGATGCTGGCACCAGGCTGGGCACAGACAGCGTGGCAGAAGCACCAGCCGTGGGTGCTGGTAGGTGGGCCCCGTTGCTATCCACTGCATCTCTGTCCACATCCTTTATATTCACTGTGGGGTAATGACCTGGTGGGTGGAGAAGAGCAATAATTGCAGGTGAGAGGGGCACAGTGTGAGCGGACCCCAAGGCCCCATCGCCCTTGTGGAGCTGCCCCCAAACCCTGCAGTGTGCTAAAGGACTTCCCCTTTCCCTCCATTCCCTCCTTGTCCTTTTCTCCTAATGGTTTGCAGTGTTGCCTTCTCTCTTTTATTGCCCAGCTTCTAACGCTCAGAAGTGCCACCTGGTTCCCTTCTGCTTCCCCAGCTTGTAGGGATTGCAACTACTCCCTTGCAAGGTTGGGACCTCATAGTTTGGAGAATGGTGGAGATGAGGATTACCAGCTGCAGGAACCTGGGACTTCCAACCTCAAACCAGTCTCTCAGGGTCTAGAAAGTCTCCTGGGTCTTCTGAACACAAACGTGTGGACTGTGCAGGCTCCAGATGACACCCATGTTGGTTTTGCATGCAGATTAAGGCACTATTTAAATAAGAACTTATGGCTTCTCTCCTTTGCAGAGGTAATAACTGCTTCCTGCCACAGGCAGGGTCAGAAGCAGGAAGGTTGGATGTTTAAAGTGGGTAATGAGAGATGCCAAATAAAGAAATGTCAATTGCCCAAAGGAGAAATGGCCCTGGGGGTTCTCATGGCTGAACCCCCAGCTGGTTGGGCAAGGAAGTGTCATCACTTTTTGTAGGAATACAACAAAACATGATTAGTTTCTCCAGGATTTCACAGAATCACAGAATGGTTAGAGTTGGAAGGGACCTTAAAGGTCATCAGATCCAATCCCCCTGCATGGGCAGGGACACCTTCCACTAGACCAGGTTACTACAACCCCCATCCAACCTGGCCTTGGACACTTCCAGGGATGGAGATTCCACAGCTTCTCTGGGCAGCCTGTTCCAGTGTCTCAGCACTTGAGCAGGAAAAAATTTCTTCCTGATCTCTAACCTAAATCTCTCTTCTTCCAGTTTTAATCCATTCCCCCGTCTCCTCTCACTACAAGCCCTTGTAACAAGCCCCTCCCCAGCTTTCCTGGAGCCCATTCAGGCACTGGAAGGTGCTCTAAGGTCTCCCTGGAGCCTTCTCTTCTCTAGGCAGAACACCCCCAACTCTCTCAGCCTGTCCTCATAAGAGAGCTACCCAGCCCTTGGGTCGTTTTCGTGGCCCACCTTCCAAGGAATTTCTTCCAAGGGAGATTGTCACACATTCAAAAGACCTCATGCAAGCTCTCCCATACCACGGTGATGTGGGACCAGTGGATCAGGATCAAATAACTGAGAAAAGGCCACTTGGGGTTGAAAAGTTAAGATCTCATCTGTGTGTGAGGAAAAGCAGTGGGATTTGGCTCACTGGTTAAAAACAAAGCAAAGCAAAGCCACAGAAACATCCTTTGGACTTTGGGGTGCAAAGGCAGAAAGCTGCGAGCAGCAAACCTCCATCTTACCATCCTCTCAGTAGGGGTGGGGCACAAGAACACAAAGGAGAGAAGTGTGTGTACAGTGGATATTTAATCCTCTGCCTCTGGGTCCTTTTGGGAGAGGTTTTGGCGAAGACACACAGCCCATCATTTCCAGCTAGGTGCAAACTCTCTCCAGGGGTTAGCTGGAAAGGCACACAGCCATGGGGCCAAGAAGACATGGATTTTATTCCTCTGTGCTGGAACTTGAAGCTTTTTCCACCCAAAAAGCAATTACTCCAGGAATAACCCCACACCCACTCAAGCTATGTGAGGTCCAAGCTGCCATCTCTGTTACCTAGGGGGGATTGCTCCTCAGTGCAAAAACTGGGATTGACAACTCCTGCCCGAGGCTGGCTGGCCTGAGGGCCAGGAAGATGGGAGGCAGCAGTGCCTTGGTAGCTGGGGACATGGGGCAACTGCTCTAATGCGCCGCAGCCTGAAGGGGAGGTGGTCCTGCTGTCCAGCAGCTCCTCGTGCACCAGCTGGTCTAGCTCAATGTCCCAGGCAGGCTTGGCCATGCTACTAGGTGCCTAGATGCTTCAAGCTAAGGAGAAGGCATCAGAAGCTGCAAAAAAACACAGAAGGATTTGAGACAGGACAGTTGTGGCAGCGCAGAGCAATGCATGGGACTGCTGGGGTTTGGTGGCCACTGCTCATGGCTGGTGGTGGCAGTGGTGGTGGGCATCCTACCAGGTCAAGTCAGCCTCATGCAGCTCCCTGACCTCAGGGAGTCATGTCAGGACCTGCCTTGGCTCCCCAGGTCTGCCACAGGAGCTCATCACCTACCTCCCTCTGCCAATCTATTACCTCCTAAAAGGTTATCTTAAAATGTGCTTTATGCCACTGGTTAATTCCCAAATTGACCAAAGTGGTAGAGAAGATCCTCTGTAGCCCCCTGGAATTCTTCAGCTGAAGGACAAAATCTTCTTTCACGTTAGAGGTTGCTTGATAAACAAGACCAAGGACTGGGTAAGGCCTAGCCTTCCAGTGGGGGCCCCAGGTGGTGACACTGCTGCTATCACAGGCTCCAGCTGCTGACATTATTGCCACTGTGGGCTCCTACCTGGTGACACTATTGCCACCACAGGCTCCAGCTGGTGATGCTATTGCCATCTCACTCTTCCCATGGGATGTTTTAAATCAGTTTCCCGTGGGAACAGTGGGAAAAGCCCTGATGCTGTGGCAGGCCCAGGCTGCAGAAGCTGTTTCCCCTCCAGGCCACCCCACTCCCTGCTGCCGTTCTCCCGTGTCACGTTAGCTGCTGCATGTTCTACCTTCAGTGTTGGTTTCAGCAGCTTCTGCTGTCTCCTCTTCCACCTTCAAAACAAAAAAAAAAGCTATTTTAAGGAGCAAAGGCCTGGCTCCACCAGGAAAAGGGCAGACTTGCATCTGGATTGAGTGGCCCATGTCCCCCAGATACTTGCCACCCTCTCGGCTCATTGTTTGGGGCCAGTATTTGAGCATGAAAACACCCCTCCTGTGGTGCCCACCTAGTCTCAGGGTTGGAGATGGCGACACCTTGGTGGACAACATTCCCAGTGCCCTTCCTGGTTGCTGCTCCCCACTGCATCCCCCCAAGGCACACTCAGAGCCCCCAGCATGTGCTGGGCAGCTAGAGCTCAGTGTAGCCATACCTGGACAAAAGCACCTTCAAGGTCACTTATCTCAGCTTCTTCGAGCTGCTCAAACCTGAGGGCCTCCTCTGCAAAGCAGACCTCATCCCCAGCCTTGGCAGCAGAGAGACAGGGCTGGATCCAGTCCCTGCAGACACAGATCAGGCAGGGATACCTGCTCACTTTCACCCACTGAGGTTGTACACATTGCAGATGTGGACAACACAGCAAGGGGGCATCACACCAACAAGGGGCATCACATCAAGGGGAGGATATCACATCAATGGGGGGGCATTACATCAGTGGGAGGATATCACATCAATGGGAGGATAGCACATCAATGGGGGGGCATCACATCAGTGGGGGGCATCATGTCAAGGGCAGGACATCACATCAATGGGGGTCGTCACGTCAAGGGGGAGCGTCACATCAAGGGGGAGGAATCACATCAGTGGAAGGGGCATCACATCAAGGAGGGGCATCACATCAATGGGGTGATCACGTCACTTGGAGGGGGATCATGTAAATAAGGACCACACACAGCTCGCCTGGTTTCAGGAGGAACTGCTCCTCCAGCTGCACCACAAGCCCATTGGCAGGTGCATGACACCACAGACATGTTGGTTTAATACAGCAGCACACAAAAAAAATGCTGCTTAAACTTGGAACAAATACTACATAGAAGACCAGGTGAGAAGTGTGTCATGAATGCAGGGCATTGTGTATGCGTAAGCAAAATTTGCATATGCAGACAGACACAGGCAGCCATTTCTCATATAATTAAAATTTGCCTGGAAATAAAAAGCTGAGAGTCTCCTTTACTGGCAGGGCTGCCCTGCGAGCACCATCCCACGTTTGCCTCTGCAGGACAACCCAGGACACATCATCCTTTACAACTGAAAAATAAAAAAAGCCTCATCATATTGTTCTGTGCAATTATCTCCTGGTTTTCTCCTTCCTGACGAGAGATGCAAAGTGGGGACTGGGGATAACCACAGAATCATCCTGGTTGGAAGGGACCTTGAAGACCATCAAGTCCAACTATAACTTAAATACTCATCTACCCCTTCAGTGCTTAAATCATGTCCCCCAGCACCACATCTGTATTTCTTTTAAACATCTACAGGGATGGTGACTCCACCACCTCCCTGGGCAGCCTGTTCCACTGTCCAACCCCTCTTTAGGTAAAGAAATTCTTTCTAATATCCAGCCTAAACCTCCCCTGGTGCAGCTTCAGGCCATTTCCTCTGGTTCTGTCATTACTCACTTGAGAGAACAGCCCAACTCCCACCTCCCTGCAACCTCCTTTCAGGCAGTTGTAGAGAGCAATGAAGTCTCCCCTCAGCCTCCTCTTCTTCAAACTAAACACTCCCAGTTCCCTCAGCCTCTCTTCATAGGCCTTGTTCTCCAGACCTTTCATCAGCTTGGTAGCTCTAATGAAAAATATTAAGAGAGCAAAATGTGTGAAAACTGAAAATCCACCTTTCTACATCCCTGGCAGGGCCCAAGGCAGAAGATGTACGTGACATGCAGTGGCTGTTGCTTCTCTTTTATCCCTATGTCTTGAAAAACTTATGTTTTCCAAGGTCTATTTTGTATTATTTTTAATAATTCCCTCCCCCTGTTTTGGGTTTTTTTTTTTGTTTGTTTGCTTGTTTTTTTAATGAGGCTCCTTGCCAATGCAATCCCAAGGCTTTTCATCCTGATCTAGAGAAGCTGACAGTGTCTCTCCTTTACCACAACCAACCACACTGAAGGATGGAGCCTCACCTCCTGCACCCAGTAACTGCAGCTCAAGTTTATATCGTGGAGCTCGAGGAACAGACTTTGAATAAATCAAAAGATCCAGGTTTAACACTGAATAATGCTGCATTTTCAGCTTTTTTTTTTTTTTCTGAAAATCCTGTCACTTCAGAGAAATTCACAGGGACTAAAACACTGTAGGAGCAGGCAATAAAACCCCAGAAGTTTATCGCATGTGAAAACAGAGCAAAACACTAAACTAAGCGTGAAGATTTTTCTAAACACCATCCAGAGCAAAGTCCCCACCTCCAACATCTGATGGTAACTCAGGGATTTCCCACCACAGGAAAAGAAGGAAAATGATACCTACTTGTATTAAGGAGCATTTGCAGGTACAACACACAATCCTGCCTTTAAGTTCATCTCTGGAACACTCCTACTAATCCCAACTGCTCAGAATTAATGGTTTACACACCGGGGACCGTCTCCAGGAGCCGGGTGCTCCTGCTCGGCTGAGCCAGCGGGTGCCAAGGGCTGCGGTTGCCACGGGCGGCAGCGATGGAGCCTGTGCCACCCGGAGACACTCGCCTGTCACCAAGTGCCGCGTCAGCAGCGACCCTGGGCTGAGCCGGCTGGTGAGCACATCCCTCCTCACGCAGCCTCTCCCTAGAGCACCCCCCTCCCAACAGCTCCTTCCTACCAACGCTATGAAAGCAACAAGAAACGCTCACCGCGCCTTCTCCTCCTCTTCCTCCCTCTCCTCCTCCCTTTCCTCCTCCTCCTCCTCGCCGGCGCTCAGGGAGCACAAGCACAGCATGGGAAGGAGAAACTCCTTAGACGAGATCCAATAAGAGAACCTCCCTGCCCGTCTCCACACCCTTACGGCCTGAAATGCTCTCCCTCCGCCCCCCGGGCCCCCCCGGGGACCACAGGCTGGGGACACTGGGCACAGGCTGGTTCAGTGCCCTGTGGTGCCTGTGGCCTCAGGCAGGGAGGAAGAACAACAGGGAAAAGTTTGGGAACTCAAAACCAGTGTCTTTGAACGTTCTAATTCCCTTTGTAGCAGAGAGAGGATGTGTAATGGGGCTACTTAGTTCTGATTTTGAGCCAAACCTCCCTGTTAATGAAACCCACCCTCCAGGCTGCCTGCAGCTTCTCATACATGAATCATAGAATCAGAGGGGTTGGAAGGGACCTCTAAAGATCATCAAGTCCAACCCCCCTGCTGCAGCAGGAAGACCCAGGGCAGGTCACACAGGAAAGTGTCCAGACAGGTCTGGAAAGTCTCCAGAGAAGGAGACTCCACCACCTCTCTGGGCAGCCTGTCCCAGGGCTCTGTCACCCTCACAGCAAAGAAGTTTCTCCTCATGTTGAGGTGGAACTTCCTGTGTTGTCACTTGGTTTCCCCTCCTGTCACAGGCACCACTGAACAGACACCCACCCTGCAAGTATTTGTAGACGAGTGTTTTCTGGCTGAGCAGAAGAAAGCTTTGCTGAGCTAGCAAGGCTTTGGCACGGCCTCTGCTTGGTCCAGCTGAGTATTGCCTGTGCTGGAGGTGAGGACCTCTGCACTCACCCTTCCCTGCATGTGCACTGGGCACAGGGAGGGCTTTGGGGGGCTCCTGAACCCTTTGGAGGGTGCACGGACCCTTCTCATCCCCATGCTTCCAGCTCTGCAGGCATTGCCCAGCCCTCAGGAGGACCTCAGCAGGGACTTCTTTTGGAAGACATAGGATAGATCCTATAGACAAGACCACCATTTCCAAATATCATGGCAGCCAGATGTGCAGTTGATGGGAATGAGGTGCAAACCCTCTTGCCTTAGGGCCAAAATCTACTTATGGGAAGCCTAAAGCAGAGTATCCTTCAGCAGGGCAATGGGGAGCATTGAACTCCTGGCTCCTCCACTCAGCACACTGAACACCAGCATCTCAGCACCAGCAGGAAAGGTCTTTGGCTCAAACACCTTTTAGGACCTTCTCTTTGGAAACGGGCACCTCAGCAGCCAGCTCCACTGCCAGTGCGGTCAAGGAGGGATGTCCAGGGACAAGCCCATCCCCTGCCATGGCCACCACACTGGTGGCTCTATGGTGTGTGGAGCTGCCCACCAACAGCATCTCCCTTCTCCTACCTGTTTTCTTCTTCCTGAGGCTCCTCCTGGATGGAGGGAAGAGGATGAGCATCTGCCACCAGCTCAGCCTCTCGACCCCAGGCCACCATCTCACACGTGGCTTCATTAACCCATTCATCGTGGAGGTCTTCCAGGATGAGGTCAGTCTCCTTGGGTTCTCCAGGGACAATATGAACTGAAAGGGGAATGGGGACAGTGAGGTGGTGAGGACCTCAGCCCATTCTCAGGAGGCCTGGGGCAGATACCATGGTGTAGCTGCTTGATGCAGCAGTGCTGGGCCCAAAGTAGCTCTTGGCCTGCACTGACCTGTGCTGCCCCATGTCCCCAAGCTGTGCCAGGTGGTTGCCTTGGGCACTTTGGCTAGAAGGACCAAAATTCACCATTTTGTGCCAAGCCCTATAGAAACTCTAACCCTTTGCATACAGGTGCCTGCTGGCTTCCCCCCCCACACACATCAGATGATCCAGCCCGTTCCCAGGCCCTGCGTTGGATCTCCTGGCCACCAAAGCTGAGCAAAAGCCTCTCCCCTCATGCCCCCTGAGCCAAACGTGGTGCCAGCCCAGCCACAGGGTCCTGGTTTCACTGCTAGAGAACCCAGGCTGCAGCACCCTGAGCACCCAGCTGCCTGTCTCTGCTCCCAACATTCCAGGCACAAGCAGGGAAGGCTCTTGCACACCTCCCAGTTTCCGAGCATCACTGGGGGGACTGGGAAAGCTGTCAGGCCAGCTGCAAAGTGAAGGGAAAGTGTAGGTCTGGCCCACCTCGCTGTGACCCAGGGGTACCCACCCTGCCCCGCACCAGAGAAACAGGAGGAGGAAGAACATCTGCAGACTCAAACCAGTTTATTTTGAGGCCTGCCTGGCAATCAAACTGCAGCAAAGCTAATAGGAAACATGCAAATGCAGCTCCAAAAAGGCAGAAAACACACCCACAGTTGGCTCTGCTGTGCTTACCTACCCCACTGTGCCCACATTGACTTTCGCTGGTTCCCTTGAGATCTCCCTAAAGTTTTAACAAGATGGCTTCTAAAACATGCTGCAACTTTGGAATACTTTATATGAAAATGGGGCAGATACTCAAATTGTGGTCTGGTGCCAGTGGGTTTGTTATGAACACAGGGTGGATCACTGGTTGCTTGGCTCATGATTCACTGTTAAGGCTGCCCAAAAGGTCCTACAGAGACATGATGAGACAGTGGGAGACCTTGTCATGCCCTGCAATACCCAGCAGGTTTATAGGAGAGCTGGAGAAAGATGTTTTACAAAGGTCTGCAGTGACAGGACAAGCAGCAATGGTTTTAAAGTGAAAGAAGGTAGATTTAGATCAGATATGAGGAAGAAATGTATGATAAGAAGTGGTGAGACACTGGACCAAAGAAGTTGTGGCTGCCCCAACGGTGGAAGGTTGAAGGACAGGTTGGACAGGGCTTTGAGCAACCTAATAGAGTGGAAGATGACCCCGTCAACAGCAGCGGGGTTGGACCAGATAATCTTTGAAGGCCCCTCCCAACCCATTCCATGACTCCAGGATCTGTACTAACAACCTGGCCACAGGGGCTCCCCCCAGCCCTGCATTCCTGTCCTGACTCCAGGCTGGGAACAACCCCAAGATCCCTTCCTTGCCAGGACATTCTGGCCCCCAGCCACTGCTGCCAGTGCTGCACCCAAGAAGCAGCAGGACAGAGCAGCTGTAGCTTGGGGTTAGGAGAGTTTGGGGGAAGGAGAGTTTGGGGGAAGTTCTCCCATAAGGGAAGTCTGGGAAAAGGCTTTTAACCCTTCACTTACTCACCCCAAGATTAAACTCAGGCACCCCCATTTGCTGCTGCAAACCAGAGACCTTTTCACTTGCTGGGGAAAAACACTCACTGGAAGAAAAGCAATAAGAAGCTGGAGAGAACTTAAAAGAGCTTTATAACATTACACCTGGGAGGTAGAGTTGACTAAAAGAAGCTTGTGGGCTTCTGATGAAGGTCTCAGGGGTGAATATTCAGATGCTGGGGCTGTTCAAAGGGCTGAACTGGGGCAGTGCAGAGGGCCAGGAGTGCTGGGAGGCTGCAGCAAGAGGCTTTCTGCCTCTGAGGTGTCCTGAGTGATGCTTTTCTACCCTTCTATAAATTATAGCTCCCATCTCATAAACATCATCCTGCAAAACCAATAGCTCCATTTCCTGGAGCCAAGAGGGAGCTGAAATGGGAGAGCCCTGAGACCAGGGACAGGCAGCCAGCATCAGGTCCCTGCTGCCCTGGCTGGGAAGGAGCTAGAGACCATTTGCAGATTCCCCTTTGCTTTTCCTCCCCAGCTGCACTTTCTCCTCAGGCTGGTCTATGCTGGGGGAAGGGCTGGCCTGCCACCATCTTCATTTTCCATTTGTTTCAGAGGCACTAAGCCCCTTTGCCCCCTGAAACAAAAGGAGAAGGAAAACATTAATGAGCGTGCTGGTGGTTTGGTGCCTTGGCCTCCTCACTCACTTCCTTGGGCAGATGAAAAAACCTCGAGATGCCTCCAGGCACCAAAGTAGCAGCACAGTCACTGTGCACAAGGGGTGCAACTGCCTGTCAGGTGTGGAGGCATCTCACTGGCTTTGCCTCCTTCCTCAGGTCTCCAATTTGTATCAATATGTGGAGAAACACCTTCCTGCAGGATTTCCTGCCCCGAGATCCCACCAAGTGCTGCTGGTTTTGCAGGAGCAACCTCCCAGTATACCCCTGGAAGGATGCACAGCCTCCAAGTGCTACAGTGAGTCCCCACTCCCACTAGTGGCTCCAATGGCCCTGGGGTCAGAGCTTGCCCAGGGCTGTGTGACACCTCTCCTGCCCAGTCCATCTCTGGATGTCCCCAGTTGAGCTCCCTGCTTTGCTTGGCACCCTGCAATGCAGCTGGCATGAGAAGCCAAGCCTGGCTGCCTTGTTGCCCTCAAGGGCAAGCAAGCAGTGATAGAGCCCCACAATGTTCCTGTTGCTGGCCCTGGAACCCCTCTGAAAGCCTCACAAATGCTGAGGCTCTGGAGTCTGCCCAGACTCACATCTCACACATCTAATTCCAGGATTTTGTTTTCCTGAGGTACTTCCCTGGACATCTCACACCAGCCTCACAAACACTCTCCAGCTCAGCAGCAAACATGCCAAAGGGGGTGATGAAGGCAGTGGGCTTGGGTTCCCCCATAACCCTTTGATCAAATCCCACCAGCCTGGCAAACTTTCTCCGGCACAGCTCGAGGACAAACCCTGGTATCTGCACTGACCTCCACACCCAGGACCCAGGATGTGAGATGCTGCACCCAGAGACCCCCAGCCCAAGTGTCACCAAGCCCAACCCACAGCCCCAGCTCTGGTCCTGCATCTCATGCAGCAACAGCCTCTTGTGGCTTTCCAGGGGGGTTCAGGGGCTCCCCCACTGGCACCCTGGCAGACCCAGGGCTAAGAGCCACCAGCAGTCCCTCTCCCCAGTAACTTCTTCCTGACCTTGGGAAGCCACCAGCACACCACGATGGAGCAGCCACTTACTTTCTTCCACAGGGCTTGAGGTTGATGCAGCCCTTCCCTGCCAATAGGAAAAGGGAAATACGAGATGTTGCAGATTCTCAGTAAATCTACATTTTTACCCTAAATGCCCCATTTTCAGTAAACATGGCCCTTTTACCCTACATCTTAGAACTGAATCATAGATGACAGCATGTCTTGCATTGAAAGGGACCTGTAAAGGCCCATCCAGTCCAACCCCTCTGCCATGGGCAGAGGACACCTTCAACCAGAGAGGTTGCTCAGAACCCCATCCAACCTGACCTGAATGGTTCCAGGGATGGGGCATCTCTTGCTTCTCTGGGCAACCTGGGCCAGTGTCTCACCAGCCTCATTGTGAAAAATGTCTTCCTAATATCTAGTCTGACTCTCCCCTCTCTCAGTTTCAAACCAGCACCCTGGTCACATCACTATAGGCTCTGCTAAAAAGTCTGTCCCCGTCCTTCTTATAAGTCCCCTTTAAGTATTGAAAGGCTGCTCTAAGTTCTCCCCAGAGCTTTCACCAGCCTGAACAACCCCAGTTCCCTCAGCCTGTCTCCACAGCAGAGGTGCTCCAGTTCTCAGAACATTTTTGTGATCACATTTGACTATGTGATTTCTTGGGGCACTTGAGGCTTCTTGCCCAAGCAAGCCTGCATGCAATGTAAGGAGAGTGGGTAAAGCTGCTGCTGCTGCTTCTCCTTCCAAGGACTTGGGCCGCACCTGGGTGAGATGCCAGGGCCTGGAAACCACTTGCTACCATACAGAAAGATAAAGAAGCAGAAAAAAACCAAACACCTGCTATGGACTCTTCCATGGCTTAGAGGCCAAATCCTGTTTTCAACAGCTAAGCAGGCTGTGGGGATTTGTTTTCTGGAGGGAGCTGACTGACAGCCCAAACCATGTCAAGTGCTGGAACTGATCTGGTGGCATCTGTATGGCTGGGGCCATTCTCCCTGTGTTCACACCCCCTGTGCCTATCCAGCAGGCAGCATACCTGTGTGTCCTGCTTCTCCCGGCTCACCGGCTGTGGCATCACTTTCTCCAGCCCCTGGACCAACCAGGCAAACACCCTGATGACCAGAAACCCCTGTTAGACCCAACTGCTGCAGCCTTTGCTCCCCCAGCAGATGTCCCAGGGGCCACCACACCCATGCAGAAGCTGCTGTCACCATTACCTGCTGCCATCCCCAGACAGGGACTGCGGGATGACAGTGATGACTGGCTCCAGCTGCTCCTCAGCTGCTGTTGGCTTCACTGTTCCTGGGATGCTCTGGGCAGCTGAAATGCTGGTTTTTGCCTTTCCCTGGGTTTTAGTCCCTGTTGTGCCTGCTCAGGTTTATTCAGGAGAAGAGGGATAGGCAAGGTGGTGGTCATCTTATAAATTATTGGGGAAGGGGAGCAAGTGGGGTCCCCTCCCACAGAGTGACAGGAACAGGCTTTGGAAAGGTCCCTGGCAGCTTCTCTTCCGGGGACCAAGCCTGGGACAAGGACATGGGTGGTTTGGGGATGAATGCAGTGCAGGGACAGTGCCATGATGCCAGGACCCAGAGTGCCTCCACTCTCAGCTGTTGATACCCAGGAGCATTGGTGCTCCAGCACTGGTGCCTGCATGCTCCTAGGCTCTAGATGACAATGTCCTCTCTAGAAGGGCCACTAGGGAAGGGGGATCACTCACCTTCCACAGTTGCTTCACAATTCTCCTCCTCTGACTCAGGCTGTAGAGGGATACAGGGATGGATGAACATGGCAAAGCTCTGTCTGCAGCCCCATGCCAGCCTGGGGGGACACATTCCACAGCCCAAAGGGACCCAGAGGCACAGCCCCACACACCCTCCACTTTGCTTTCAGCCCCATTTCCTGGACAAGGGCCCTCAAAGCCAGTTCCCAGCCTTGCTGGCACCAGCGTGTTCCACATGCAGAGTTCCCTCAGCCTGCAAGAGGGCTGGAGAGCATCCAAACAGCCCCCTAAGGTCTCTCTAATGCTCTGCTGAATTTCCCCTGGGGTTTCCTCCCCAAGGTCCCAGCTGGGGTGTCTGGGAGGACAAAGATGGGGAACCTGCTCTGCTCTCAGCTCTGCCCAGCAGCCCCCAGCCTCCCAAAGCTCACCTCCAGCTTTTTCAGTGGCTCTGGCTGTGGCAGCATCCTCTGCCAGCCCTGCAGCAGCCAGCCCAGCACCTGTGCTCCGGTCCTGAGGGGAGAGGGGGTCATAGGCAGGGAGCTCCTCCTGCACCCTCCTGCCCTCCCATGCCCCCCTGGCAGCCTCCCTAGGGACCCACCACTCCTCCGTGTCCAGATCTGTGCCAACCTCAGACTCACAGTTGTCCAGTTCATCCTCCTCTGGATCAAAGGGGGTTATCTCTGCAGGGAGAGCAGTGCCAAGGGGTGGGGAGAGCCGGGACCTGCACTGCTGAGGGCTCTTGGGCCCCTCAACAGCTGGCTTATGGGGACAATAGCACTAACATCACCAACCAGGGGGGTGGGATGTGGGAGTCCTAGAAAGAGCCCTGGTTCTTCTTACCCAGAACATCCTCTTCCTCTTCTTCCTCTTCCTTGATCTCCTGAACCTCTGTCTGAAAAGGCAAACAGACTGTCCCCTGCCCGGCAGCCACAGGGCTCGTCCTGCCGGTGCAGGGGCTCCCTGCCCTGCCAGCAGAGATGGATGAGGGCACAAGCCCACACAGGGCAGGGTTAATGCTCGCAGTTACCTCTAGGAGAGTGACGGGAAGAAAAGGTAATAAAGAGCTAAAAGCCCAAACACATCAGCCTGTTGCCCTGCCCTACCTGATCAGGAACATCAATGCTTGTCTCAAAGCTCTTCCCGAGCGTCTGCAGTGTCCTCGGGGCCTGGGTAAGGGCTGGGACTGGCTGGGGAATCACCTTCTCCAGCCCCTGGGAGATCCAGGAGAGCACACTGCTCCCCATGCTGCCAGGGAAGGAGGGAGTCAAGCTGGGACCTCCCACCCAGGCATCCAGCCCCTGACCAAGAGCAAAATCCTGAGGAAACCGTGTTGCACACTGGAGGGTGCCAAGTGATACCTCTCAACTGCAGAGCCCTGGTCCTCAGGGACTGCAAATCCCACCTTCTTTTCCATTTCTTCAGCAGCAGCAAGAAAAAAAAATAATAATAAAAAAATCAGACAGCCCTGGTGTGCAGGGCAGGGGTAGCAGCCAGTACAGGAGCACTGGTCACCACTCAGCCACACACCCCCCTGCCCTGGGGGCTCACCTGCAGTGTCCATGCCCTCAGCAGCAGCCCCGGGGCCACCAGCCTGGCCCGTCAGTGCCTTCAGGGGAAAGGGCAGAAGATGTCAGAAAGTGAGGTGTGGGGGCCTGTGTCTCCCATGTAAATCAAAGAATGCTAGACTGGTTTGGGCTGGAAGGGACCTTAAGGATCATCCAGTCCCACCCACTGCCATGAGCAGCAATGTGTCCCACCAGACCAGGTTGCTTCAAGCCCCATTCAACCTCCCCTTGAACACTTCCAGGGATGGGTCAGCCACAGCTTCTCTGGACATCCTGTTCCAGTGTCTCACCACCCTCACAGGAAATAATTTCTTCCTCTGATCTCATCTAAATCTCAGCTAAAAACCATTCCCCCTCATTCCATCACTCCCTGCCCTTGTTCCAAGTCCCTCCCCAGCTTTCCTGAAGCCCCTTCAGGCACTGGAAGCTGCTCTAAGGTCTCCCTGGAGCCTTCTCTTCTCCAGGCTCAACACCCCAACTCTCTCAGCCTGGCTCCAGAGCAGAGCTGCTCCAGCCCTCAGATCATCTCTGTGGCTTTCTCTAGCAAAAAGGTGGCTGCAAACCTCCAAGGACCCCTTGTCTTTCCTGCTGCCTCCCAGCCACATGGAGGGGTGTTGCATCCCACCCCCCATCCTCCTGGGGATGCTGTGGAACATCCCTGTGTGCTGCAGTGCCAGGGCTGGATGCAGAGGCACTGGGCATCTCTCCAACACACTCACAGGGATCCCAGTACCTCCCAAACTGGCGTCCCACTCACCTTAGCTGGCTGGGGGTCCTGCTGAGGGCCTTGGGGGATCTCCTCTATCAGATGGGGCACCGGGGGCTGGGGAACCACCCGCTCAATCCAGCCCAGCATCTCACTGTCTCCAGGTAGTGAGGAGAAGCTTCCAGCTGGTGGGTGGCTAGCAGCAGTGGTGCACACTCCCTAGGGGACACCAGCTGCTCACAATGTCCCCAGGGCAGCCCAGAAAGGTCCTTAGTGTCCTCCAGTTTCCACTGCCTGCATGGGAAATGTGGAACTTCAGCGCAGAAAGACCAAACCAAATTCAACCCCTGACCCCTCACCATTATTGTGGGCAAACCACACCCTCTTTTTTCAGCTCACAGGGCTCAGTTCAACTTGCTTTTCCAAGATGTAACTGGTCATTTAGGGGACTTTTGCACAACCCTCCAGGGCTGGGGTGACACAAGGGAAGGTGCTTAGGAAGCCACAGTAGACAGATCACATGAACTGCAACCCTTTGCTCAGGGTCCTCTCCACTCCTGCTCATTTCTCATTTGAGGGATGAAAAACAACAGTAATTTGAGCAGAATTTGTTTACAAGCAAGGTCGTGCCCCAACACACGGATCAGCTCATGCTGCTCTGAGGAAACAACTCTGCACAATTACCATCCAGCCACAGCCTGGGGGGCAGTGACCTGCAAAGGCAGCCAGTGTGAGTTGCTGTGGCTGCTGAGATGGTGATGGGTTAGGAAAAAATAAGATGTTGCAGAGCAGGGATTCAGTTGTTCAAGGTCTGTTTGCTCAGCCTTTTCAGGTCACCCCCACCTCTTCTTGGTGTGACTCCAGGCTGGGATGCAGCATCCTTGAGCCAAGCGACGCTGCATGTTCCCACATTTGGATGAGGACAAGGGCTGGGGACTCCTGCCCAGCTCAAATGGGGATGTCTTCTCTTGCTGCCACTCCACAGAGTCCTGGCTCTGCCCAAAAGACTCCCCCAAAGACACTCTGTTCAGTGAGGGGTTCAGGAGCATCTCAGGGGAACCCATGCTGCTGCTACCAGGAGATGCCCATGGAGGGCAAGAGAAAGGAGATCCCTGAGCTCCATCCAGCCCAGCCAAAGACAGCACTGGAGTTTTGATCTTGGGTCAACAGGCCTGGGTCCACAGAGCAGCAGGTTGTAGGCTGGAGGTCACTTAGTGCCTCCCTCAGCTTTTGGGCAGGCAGAATGCCTTCAGATCCCTCGGGGTGGTTCAACAGGGGCTGCCCAAGGCCCTGCATCTTAAATCTTAATGAGCTGAGGTTCCTGGGTAGGGGGATGTGTGTCCTCAGCTCTTTGTTTGTGCAAGCCCAGGAGCCGGGTTTGGATGCAGCCAAAGCATTGCCCCACGTAGCACCTCCAGCCCCCTGCACACCATGGGCAGGATCAGCTCTCCTCATCCCTGAAGTGGGAGAGGGTGGCTGTAAAACACCTCCCAGGAGGCCCAAAGCCCAGAAACCAACACAGAAATTGCTTTTTGCCACCCAGTGGGGATAAGGGACTAAGAAGCTGTGAACGTCCCAGGAACAGCAAGAAAAACCCAGCAGTGCCATGTGGCACAGCAGCATTCCTACCCATGCTTCAGGATCTTCTCAGGTTCTAAAGAAACTCAGGGCCAACATATCCTGATGAGCCCAAACAAGGCTAGAGAAAAGTCCCCTGGGGCTGGAGAGAGCCCCCCCAGCCAGCTGAAGTGTCCTCCTCCCTCACTAAAAGCCTGCACAGTGGTAAAAGCCTAGAGGGCTTCAGCCTGTCCTTGTCCTGGGAAGTGAAGGGCAAGGGCTGTTCCTCCAGCACATCCAAACGAGAGAGGGGCAGGAACACTTGTGAGTCCCCAAAACCCACTAGTTGCTAGGAAAAATAGGAATAAGCAGCCAGGATTTGTCTGTGATGGCACCCAAAGCAATCCCTGGTACTGCAGACACTGGCCAGTGTCACTGCCAATGGGTGGCAGCTCCGCAGGGCTTGTGCAAGCGGGAAGGGTCTCAGCCTGAGAGCAAGAAGTGGGGCTCAGACCCACTATCCTCTTTCAGAGCAGGGAGCACTGCAGCCTTTCCCTCCCCTCTGGCACCAGATCAAACCCCTCCACATTACCCAGCTCGATCACTCTGGCACCATCGCTCCCCATGGACGCACATCCCCACCCTGGACCTGTGTCTCCACCGCAGTTCAACTTCCAGCTCCACTTCACAGCACCAAATCTCTATCTTACGTGCAGGGGTGACCCTGCAGAAACCCCAGCCGCATCCCTCACCTCCATCACTGCCACTTACCCCTGCACTCGTTGCCACCTCCCAAGGAAGCCACCCCCGGCAATGCGTGGGCTCCCTTGGCCACCGCAGCTCGCCACTGACCCCCAAAACCGACTCCAATCCGCTCAGGGCTCTGCAGGGATTAGCCCAGCACTGCCTGCAAATGGGATTACTGACACCCAGCTGTCCTGAACGCCTCTACTTCCAGCAGCCAGCCTGGCTTGGATGTGGGATGGTGCCAAGGTAACTCAAAAATCAAGTAGGTTTGAGTATCCCCCAAAACACCAGAACCACCAAAGCTCCTGTGGGCACTCACTGGCTGGGTGGGAGTCCAGGGAAAGTTCTTGTCTCACCAGGCACGGGTGGGACTCACAAAGGAGCAGCAACAGGGCTGCTGAAATCCTGTGGGGTGACACAAGGGTGATGGGCCCATGGCCCTGCCCCAGACCCTGGAGGATCTTGGGCAGAGGCAGCAGATCCATGCTGGGCTGAGCTAAGCCTCCCCTTGCTGAGCCTGCCAATTGCTGCCTGATCCGTTTACCTCTGGCCCTGCGTGACTGCTGGTCCTTTCCATTGCCCCTAATCTCAGCCCTGCTCAGAATCCTGGTACCTGCACGGCTTTGCTGCTCCATGTTCAGCCCCAGCTTTTGTCTTTGACCAGAGCTCCCCAGAGCCAGACCCCTCTGACCTGATTCCTTCTTCCTTGGCCCAGAGCGACAATCCCTGTCTGGCCCAGCCCAGCACCTCTGCAGCTTTGCTTCACAGCTAGGGAAACTGAGGCACAGAGCAGCAGTCTCCCAAATCATTGCGGAAGCCGACTGAAAGTCATTCCTGTATTTTTGAGATACTGTTCACTCTGAAGCAGAGTGATAACTGCTTAGAGCTCAGCATTGGCACCGATTTTAATGGCAAAAACATGATTCAAAGGTGCTTGCCACATTCTCCCAGGCCTTGAGGCTACTAAAGTCATTACCCAGCCTCAGCTCTTCTCACTTCGCTCCCCATGACTCCAGCCAGCAGAGCTGTCCCTGTCCTAGCAGGAATCAGCAGCAAAGCCTTCATGGTGTCCAGCAGAGGAGCTCAGGGGCTCCCATCCTAGCCCAGGCAGCCCTGTTCACTCTGATTTCCCCCTCCTTGGGGTGGGCTCAGACCCTCAGCCCAGGACTGGCACATCATGTGCTCACAAACCTTGGGTGCAGGTGGCCCCCATGTGTCCCTTCACCTCCCCAGCCACTCATGCTACCTCCAGCCTCCACAGTGCTAAAGGATGAGAGATGAGCTGCATCCATGAATGTGCCAAAGCCCATATGCGCAAGCCATTGTCACGTGGAGCAGAGGGGCCACCACTGCTGCTTTCCGGGCCCAGCCTGCCCCAGGAAGCAGGATGAGCCCAGAGGTGGCCACTGCAGGGATGCTGCCTCCATCCCCAGGCTGCAGGGGCTGCAGGTGCTGAGTCCCAGGGCAGGAGATGCTCCAGCACCAAAAAAATACTATCTCAGATGAACTTGTCAGCACCTCCATCTGCCTCTAATGCACATTCCACAGGAGAGGGCAAACCCTCTGCTCCCCACTGCCAGACAGATGCTGACCCCTGCGCTGGGGGTGGCAGGGGAGCCTAGGCTTTGAAAGCAGGGCAGGAAGTTGCTGTGTAATGCCTTGGAAATGC